CCTCTTTCACCCTCATCAAGAGGCTCTTTAGTTCTTCTTCACTTTCTGCCATTAGGTTGGTGGCCAAAAGGTAAGATCTCTAATTCTGATTGAAACAGGAGGGGCCCTAAAAGCAGGCATTGTTGCAATTGTTTACTATTGTGCTCTTTTTTAAAGTAACACATATCTTAAGCATTTTCCACATTAGCTTCCCTGCCGTGGTGTTTATCTTTGCCTTGAGCTTAATAAAATCAATTTTCTTGTTGAAGATATTCAGTTACAGTTTTGGGTTTCTTTAGCATCAAGAATTGCAGCATTATATCACCATATTGCTTCAGTGTTGCTTCTAGTTACACTTTCTTGACTAATCCATCATACTGGGCAATTTTAAGACAGAAAAGAGCTAAAACCAAGCTTCTGCTGATTAGAAATTAAAGCATTCTCCAACCTGGCGCCATCCAGATATGTTAAGACAAAATTCAGTTGTCCATGCTCAGAGATGATTGACGTGGTAGTCCAACACATCCAAAAGCAATAGGTTGCGGAAGGCTGACTTATTATCTCTAGGTGACTAAGGTTCGTATTTGTTGGGGGCATGACGGCATACAAAATGTCTGTGTAGTTAAGTGTGGTACAATCCAAAGTATCATCAAATCAATTGGATGGCTACCATTTGATTAATGGAATCCACTTTTGAAGTTTGTTTTATAATAACTTGACAGAAGGTCTAAAGGGGGTGATTGTTGATTTATTGATCCCTTATAAACAACAATCTGTTTATACTAATAGAACACAAGCCCCATACTCAAAGTCCTATTACATATTTCAGACTTTTTCAGTTAATGCAATGTGCCATAAAGTGTTTGGTTTGGTATCTTAGAGGAAAGCCAAGCCTCTAACCATGCAACTTACAAGTACTGTACCCCTATTAATTGCTAATGAGAAAGAAATGATTATACCTCTCTGGTTTTGAAAATACAAATTCTAGCTGTTATAGTAAAAAAGGAACACTTAAAAAAGTATTAATATATTGCTTTGGTGAAATTGAAGTATCCAGAGGCTTATTTCAACTACAGGAGCATATGTGAAAAAAAAATCTAGGCGACTTAGTGATCACATGAGCCTATAGACTGACACTACTGCTAAAAAGTCAACTGCAGCCACATTCGAGGAACTACCAGGCAGTAGGAAGAAAATGTTCCATTCTGTTCTGTACTTAACAGGCTGGGTCTAGAGTACTCTATTCAGTTCTGGATATCACATATTAAGAATGTGTACTAACTAAAGTATATCAAAGAATCACCCCAATATTGAGAGTTTTGGAAAACAGATTCAGCTGAAAACACCGAGTATGTTTTCCCCGAAAAGAGAAGATTAAGTGAAAGCATGATAGTGGTCTTCACATACTTGAAGGGTTGTCATTCAAAAAAGGAAATGGACTTGATATTGAAGATTGGAATCCATCACATCTAGAGGCCACCAGCTTGGGGAAAGTCAGTCTATTCAAACTTGAAGAAATCCTATCAAGTTTCAGATGATTTTCCAGTTCTGTCTCAACATGCCCAGGACTGAACTGGTTTGGATTTTTTGATATGCAAAGCATCTATTTTCTTACTGATCACCTTTCCTCCAGCTGTTTTGTGGTAACCAGCTGTAGTCTGTTTATTTTCTTTCTTAAATGTCAGTGAAAAATTCCTACTTGCTCCAACAGTGAGATAGATGACCTATGGCATGTCCTTTAAACTCAAACATGTATTTCACTAGTTAGTAATAATACTGACTGTTTGCTATCATAGTAGTTGCTGTCATGAGAATGCTATTGTATCTGGATTATGCAGTCAGGGTTTATTGTGCAAAATCAAATTAATAGCTCTGATGTCCTTGAGGTGGACTTGGTTATTAGCCCAAATACTAACTTGGCATGAAAAATTCTGATTCAATCTGTGGTTGCAGTTGGAATTTGATCACCTTAAATGAGCTCACTCAGCTAGTGATTGTTAATACTCCCTACATTCTGAAAATGACATGCTGTAAACTCTGTTGGCTCCGCTTGGTCAGACAGGCAGTCTGATTCTTTTAAAGCTGAAGAACCAAGTGAAATCTTAGGAAATGGTGGCATTTAGCTTCAAGGCTCTTTTTCCAATAGTGCATCTTTTGCTTCTTTTAAATATTCCTCTGTTGCATTTCAGAACAAAACTGTCTCATGGCACAATAACACATTCAATCAGAAGTCCAAAACCTTGCATAACCCAGTAGTAACAGAAGCCCAATTTAATAAAGTTAGTAAAATTTAGTTGCAGGTTAAACAACTAATAAAAATGGAGTCTGAAGACCATTTAAGGTCCAACACAAGCCACCTAAAAGGCAGTAAATATGAAACTAATTGTATCATTTTCCACAGATATGAGGCCATAATAAGGAAACGCCTGCCGGTTTGAATGGGTGATCTTTAAACTGGGCCCCTGAACTTAAATTTATGACCATTGGCAGGTTTGGATGGTACAGCCAATCTTTCAAATAGTCCCAAACTATTTGGGGTTTTAAAGGTCAAATCCAGTACTTCAAAA